CCAAACTCCAGTATTGTTTTCCCATGCAGAGCTTCCAATACCAGGCTGCCCAATTCACAGTCTGATCCAAGGAATCCCAAGGCTTGGCATGAACCCCTGTTTGTAGCAGCTTATTAGCATCTTAGTACATCTTTGTGCCTGGGAAAGGTAAAGTTGCAGTAGTTTAGATATCCTTTCTGTTCATGCATTATCCTTTAAGTTATAGTTTATATGCTATTAAAGCACTGATCATTTAGGAAGGACCACACTATCATATACCGAAGTATAAAGGAAAGACTTAAGTAAGAGCATAGATTTGAGAGCTAAAGGAGTGAATGAGAAGCTGGACTTTTACAACGTGCTTAGTTCTGTCATTGTGGAGCTGACAGACTTGTGCTGGCCTGATGCTTCTTTTCTCTTTGAACAGGGCCACCCTGGACAGCCAGGACCCAGAGGCCCACCTGGTCTGGATGGCTGTAATGGAACTCAAGGACCAATAGGATTTCCGGGCCCTGATGGCTACCCTGGGCTTCTTGGACCGCCTGTATGCTGCCAGATATTTGCACGTCATTTCAAGTTGCTTTGCTTACTTCCAAGTGTGCCCTTTTACCACTTTTATGAAGACCTCATGAAGCGTCTGTGGGACAACCAATGTAGACCCTTGTACAGTGGGAAATGTCTATATTTACTATACACCCAACAAGAAAAGTCTAAAGAAAAAAAATACTACTTCATTGGGGTGTACACATGCTATTTTACTTGGGATTAAACAACAACAACAGCAACAAAAGCGGCTTTATAGATTTGGCAAGGATTAAGGAATGCTGGGGGAAAGATGGCATTTGAATCCACTGGCTGCTCCTCAGGTGAAAGACAGGCATTCTTTTCCTTTTAAGATTTACAGCCTCAGAAACCTGATGGAAGGTTGCTATGAGTCAAAATCAACTCAACAGCAATGGAGGGGGGGAAAGGTGGCAAGATTGTTTAAAGTTACAGCAAATTTCAGAGCAAAGGACATATTTGTGCTATTTGACATAATTGTGCTGTCAGAGGCTGTTAGAAAATTATATAATTGGAAGATATGATTATTAAAACACTAACCAAACTTGGCAAACTTGGTCTTTACCAGTAATTCTCATCCAAGGGCTCTGGTGGCTCGTGGTAAGAAACTATACTACAATCCCCAAGGCATAGAGTTTGAATCTACCAGCTATTCCATGGAGAAAAGAAAGAGAAATCTACTTCTGTGCAATTTACTGTCTCTGAAAACCCACTGGAGGGTCAGCTATGGATCAATTCCAACTTGATGGTACACTATAACAGGGAATATTTGACAATTTTTACTGACATATTGGGTAGTCACAACTGAATGGATGCTACTGGCATCCAGTAGGTATAGGCCATGGATGATGCGAAACATCCTGCAATCCAATAAATAGAACACCTACCACAAAAAGAAAAGTAATCTGACCCAATATGTTCATAGTAACAAGGTTGCTGATGGGTTGCCTTCTTCATCATAGCCCTCAGTATGGGATTAATAAGGCATTTTATTAGATCCTGGTGTCATCATCTTATTTAAGTCCATTCGTCTAGATTGCTGTTGTTATGTACCATCAAGTCAAAACTGACTCATAACTGACCCTCCAGCAGGTTTTCAGAGGCAGTAAATCACATGAGAGGAGACTTTCCATTCTTCTCCCATGGAGCAGCTAGTGGTTTTGAACCATATGCCCTTGGTATGGCAGTGTTGCTCCTTACCACTAGGCCACCAGAACTCCCTATCCATCTAGATAGGACCCTGATAATAAAATCGAAAGGATCTCTAGTAGATACCATATTCTTTTCAGACTAATCTTACAAGTGATTTAAATTAAAGTCATATAAATTAATGAGGGTACTGTTGTGAGGGTGTTTAGCTTGAATTCAAATTGTCCTTTAGACAAAATATCAAGTTATATGAATTAATTGGCACTTAGTTCGAAAAGCATATGGTCCAAATAGGCATAAAGGACGTTGGCATCTAAGGACTGTACCACTGGTAGTGGGGCGGGGGGTGGGGGAGATGTGTCCCTAACAGAATGACTTTTTGCCTAGATGAAGGGCATGCAAATAACATACCTGTGAGGAGTGGAGTTGATGAGTAAAAACCAAAACCATTCAGTCTGATTCATAGCAATCCTACAGGGCACAGTGCAACTATCCACACAGGCTTTCCAAGGCTGTACACATCTTTATGGAATCATCTTGCCTCAGTGTTCTCCTACAGAGCAGCTGGTAGATTCAAACCTCTGACCTTTTGGTTGGCAGCACAGCCATTAATCCAATGAGCTTCTTAGACAATCTATTGTTGTTGTTGTTATTGTTGTGTACCATCAAGCTGGAGCTGACCCATAGCTGACCCTCTGCCAGGTTTTTAGAAGCAGTTAATCACATGGGAGGAGATTGCCTATCCTCCGGCAGAGTAGCTGGGGGGTTCAAACTGCATGCCCTTGGGATTGCAGCACAGCTTCTTGCCACTGTAAGCCACCATTGCTCCCTATACAATCTATAGGCATATGAACATTTATTATGTCTTCAGAACAGCACACTGAAAAATGAAGGATTCTATTCTCTAACCTCCATTTCTATATTGACCATAGTTTGGAGTAGGGGAATGGGCATACGACACCTTTTCAGGATATTTGTTTTTCCCCTTAACACAGCCAACAACTCTGACACTTAATTTCAGGCTCTTGCTGTTTCCATCTTTTTTGGGACCAAGACTATACTTTCAGGGATCATTTCTATAGTTCGTTACTAGAGAAGTTTCTCTGATCGTGTAGAACACGCACACACACACACACAGTTATCATACTGTTAACAAAGCTCTAAGAGTGTATATTTCTTCACAAACTTTTCTTGGTTTTGTTTTTGTTTTGTTTTTACTCAGGGTATTCCTGGACAGAAGGGCACAAAAGGTGATGCAGTCGTTGCTCAAGGTTTTCTTAAAGGAATGAAGGTAAGAGCCTCTAAGGCAGACAACTGAGTAGGCTGTATGCTGAGTTCCCTGGGATTGGCCCCACTTTCAATGAAAACATTTCCAAACTAGCATCTGTGCCTCTATTTAAGGAGAAAACCAAGCTGGATTTAAAAGGATCTGGAGCTTTTTGTGGTAGAAACATTGACAGAAATGTTTGCAACTATACTGTCAGAGATATTTGCTTTGTATGATCTATACCAGAAATAGGAGACAGATTAGCAAACAAACAGTTTGCATGGGCATCATTTTCTTTGACATGCTAAGATATTTTCTGGAGGCAGATACCTTTTGTCTACTTTAGAACCCTTGATGTTTGCATACCTTGGTTTGAAGCCATGTATGTCTCTGCCCACCTCAATGTGGCCACCAGCCCAGATCCAGACTCCACCCTTTTCTGTCCCTGCCTATCAACCTTAGAGAGGTCCCTCACTGTCTGCAGAAATTGCCCAATAGCTCTGAAGCCGGCTAGAAACTTTTCTCTTTTCCCAGAGTTGACAAGAACCTTCTGTATTCTCTGTGACTGTATCCTTGGTGGTATCTTGTGGGGCCCCAGTAAACTTTGGATCCTCAGGATTTAGCCTCACTCATTTGCCGAGTGGAAAGGGAGCCCATCATTCCCCTGGTGGACATGGGAATCTATCTGCCCTGCATCTGAAGAGTAAGATGCGGCAAGCAAGCTTAGCAAATTGATAACATTCTCTTTCATCCATGCACAGACATTACAAATCACCTTGAAAGGTGGTAGATGTGGGCAGCTGGAAAACAAGAAAAGGCCCAGTGTTTGGGTTTATGCTATAGATGAAACAGCAGAAGATAGAATGGTAAAAGTTGTAAAGAATGTCATGATTGTTAGCTTCTTATTGTTCATTTTACAGATAGGGAAACTGAGGACTGAGCTTATGTGATTTGCTCCGTGTCACACTACCAATTCTCTGAAGAGCTAGCTAGAACTCAAGCTCTCCTCTTTCTACACCACAGAGAGATGGGGTTTTGACCATAAGCCAAGTAGGGCAGAATAGCAGGTATCAAAGAATGGCCATTGTCTTAACAAGCATTGATTGAATGATCTGGCCAAAAATCAACGAGATGTTAAATCCAGTGGGACACAGCAATTTCCACAAGCTGGTAGTATTTACAGATTCATACAATGACTTGGGAGACTGCAAAGTAATTAAAACGTAATCAGAGACTGTATGCTCTATTGCTTCTCCCTTTAAATGTCTGATTTGTATTGTATACATATGGGCACAGATTCTCTGAGGATGAAGGAACACAGGAAGGTAGCTCAGCTTTTCTCAGAGGAAGAAAATCACCAGCCTGCAGAAGCCGTTTCTAATTGATAAGTTCCTAGCAAAGGTGAAAATTAATTAATCCAAGTAAATACGAAATCCTGTTCAGCCAAGGCTATAATATGTGTCCTCTAAGAGTCCAGAATTTTCTTAGGAGGGAAGAAAGTAAATGGTTGATTATGTCCAATTTATGCGTTATTTAAACCACGAGACCTTAATAGAGGATTCTAAGCTTCAGCAATGCATTTTTATCCCTGAGACTCTTAAGTTGGTTGTTTATAGAATGTCACAGACTGAATTTATTCATCTCATCAGTGCCCTGCCTTCTTTATTTGTTTCTTAGGGGGATCCTGGACTGCCAGGACTGGATGGAAGTGCTGTAAGTTTTTTATATTGTGGCGTTCTCAATGCCTAGTAAACAGCTACTGATGGATCCATTTCGTTCTCTCCACTATATTAAAGAGGAGTCCTGATGGCGTAGAGGCTAAGGATTCAGCTGCTAACAGAAAGGTCCACAGTGTGTAAAAAAGATATGGCAGTCTATTGCCTCTGTGGCGATTTACAGCTTTGGAAACCCTATGAAGCAGTTCTATTCTGTCCTATACTGTAACTATAAGTCAAAATCGACTCCATGGTAAAGAGTTTCGTACGGTTTGCTTTAGCTCCATGGTTTCTAAAAGTCCTTCCAGATCTTCTAAAGGACAATTTAGACAGTTGCAGTGGAATGAGACACAACTATTGATATTTTCCAGATAAGAAGGGATTGAGAGAATGAACTACCCCCATTAAGTCACATGACAGACTGACTTTCAGAGCTTTTCATCCAAGGGACTAAATATATGCCCTAGGATGTGTTAAGGAAAAAAAAAAAAAACCAAACAAACTGACTTTTCATCCAGTTTCCAAGTTTTCTGTTAAGTTCAGAGTTCCATGGGTACAGGAGAGAAAAAAAAAAAGAGTATGTTTGTTGAAAAAGCATCGCATTCATTAGTTCCTCACAGAAACTCTTGATAATAGAACTGGAAAGGCCATAGGTGTATTCAAGAAAAGTGAGGGGTTCCCCCCTTTTTGAGATACTACAATGTCATAACTCCTTTGAAATGGCTTAAGGAGCCTTTGCTGCCTGCCTTCCTTCATTTCTTTCTCCTACCCTCCCTCTCTTTGCCTCCCTCCTCTCTTCTATTTTGTGAGCAGGTATGAACAGGTATTGACCATGTTGACTGATCCTTAAAGCAATATAGACATAGTTCCTGCTGCCTTGTTGTTGTATGCCTTTGAGTTTGAACAGACCCATAGCTGACACTCCAGCAGGTTTTCAGAGGCAGTTAATCTTGGGAGGAGAATGCTTATCTTTCTCCAGCAGAGCAGCTAGTGGATTCAAACCAAGAGCCTTCAGGATTGCAGTGCAGCTTCTTACCACTAGACTACCAGAGCTCCCTCTCTGCCCCTTTGTTGTTGTTGATGTTATGTGCCATTGAGTCACCTGCAACTCATAGCAACCCTATGTACAACAGCACTAAACCCTGCTCTTTCCTGTGCCAATCACTGTCTCTGACACTGAATCAATCCATCTCATCCAGAGTCTTCCTCTCTTGCACTGTCCCTCCACCTTCCCAAGCATGATGTCCCTCCTTGCAACATGTCCAAAGTACATCAGACAAAGCTTCAAAATCCTTGGCTCCAAGGAGCAGCGTGGTTTAACACTCTCCAGGACAAACCTGTTCATTCTCTTAGCAGTCTATGTTATTTCAATACGCTTCTCCAACACCACAGCTCAAAGGCATCAATTCTCCTCCTATCATCCCTAGTCATTGTCCAGCTCTCTGGCGCATAGCAAGTGATTTCAAAGGCCATGGCCTATATCAGGTGCACCTTAGTCTCTGGACTGACATTGTTGCTCTTTAGTACTTTGGAACAGCCAACTTTCCCATTGCAATATATCTTTTAATTTCCTCGCTGCTGGTGCCAAGAATGTTGATTGTGGAGCCAAGAAAACTAAAGCTGTGAACAATCTCAATCAATTCATCTATCATGATGCTGCCAATTGTCCCAGTGGTGAGAATCTTTGTTTTCTTGATATTGAGCTTCAATCCATATTGAAGGCTTCATTCCTTGACCTTCTGCAGCAAGCATTTCAGGTCCTCCTCAGTTTCAGCAAGCAGAGTTGTGCCATCTGTATAATGAAGATTGTTGTTGAGTCTTCCTCCAATCTTGATGCCAAATTTCTCCTCATAGAGTCCAGCCTCCCAGATAACCTATTATGCATATATATTGAAAAGGTATAGAAATAAGACACACCCATAGAGTACACCCTTCCAAATTTTGAACCATGCAGTGTTTCCTTGCTCTTTTCTAAGACTGCCTCCTGGTCCAAGTATAGGTTTTGCATAAGCATGATCAAGTGTTCTGGGTTTCCATTTTTCTCAGAGTTAGCCACAGTTTGTTGTGATCCACATAGTCAAACACCTTTGCATAATCAATGAAACACAGACAGACATTCCTCTGGTACTCCCCGCTTTCAGCCAAGATTCATCTAACATTAGCAACAATATCCTTAGTACTGCAACCCCTTCTAAACCCAACCTGCATTTCTGACAGTTCTCAGTTGTTGTGCTGTTCCAGTAATTTTTGGATAATGTTCAGCAGAATCTTGCTTGCTTATGATTCCAATGATATTGTTTGATAATTTCCACACTGTGTTGGATCACCTTTCTTTGGAATGGGAACAGGTATAGATCTCTTCCAGTCAGCTGGCCAAGTAGTTGTCCTCCATATTTCTTGGCACAAAACTTGGTGAGCACATCTAGGGCGGCATGTTAGTTGAAATATGTCTATTGGTATACCATCAATTCCTGGGGCCTTATTTTTTTGCCAATTCTTTCAAAGCAGCTTGAACTTCCTCCTTCATCACCAAAGATCTTGCTCATATGTTGTTTCATTAAATTCTTCTGTGTCCACCAATTCCTTTTGGTATAATGACTCTGTATACTCTTTCCATCTTCTTTTAATACTTCCTGGATCATGTAATATTCTGCCCAAAGTATCCTTAATTATTGCAACTTGAGGTTTGAATTTGTTCTTCTGTACTTTGATCTTAAGAAATGCTGAGTGAATTCGGACCTTTTGATTTTCTAACTCCAGCTCTTTGCACATTTCATTATAATACTTTGTCTTATCACGCTGCCCTTTGAAATCTTCTGTTCAGCTCCTTAATATCTTGATTTCTTCCCTTTCATTTGGCTTCTCAGTGCTCTAGTGCAACATTCAGAGTCTCTTCTGATTTCCATTTTGGTCTTTTCTTCCTCCTCCATCTTTGTAATCACCTTTTGCACTCTTCCTGGGTGTTATTTTTTATATCCTCCCACAACTCATCTAGTCTTTGCTCATTAGTGTTCAAGACCTCAAACCTGTTCCTGAGATGGTTTTAAAATTCAGGTGGGATAGACTCAAGGTCATATTTTGGTTCCCATGGATTCAATTTAATTTTCCTTAGCTTCAGCTTGAACTTGCATAGGAGTAGTTGGTGGTCTGTTCCACAGTCAGCACCTGGCCTAGTTTTCACAGCTGATATTGAGCTGCTCCAGCAATTCTTTCCACAGATGTAATTCATCTGATTCCTATGCATACCATCAGGTGAAATCCATGTGTATAACCTGAATTGATGTTTCTTATAAAACGTATTTGTAATGAATAAGTCATTGATTGTGCAAAATTCAATCATTCTATCTCCAGCTTCATTTCTGTCCCCGAATCCATGTTTTCCAACTATTTATCCTTCTTCTCTGTTCCCAACTTTTGCATTCCAGTCACCCACTATTATTAATGCATCTTGATTACATGTTTGATCGATCTCTCAGTGCAAAAGTTGGTAGAAATATTTTCTTTCCTCTTTGCCTCTGGTTGTTGCTGCATATATCTGAATAATAGTGGTATTCTATTGTACATGATTTTTTATGTTTTTGTACCTCTTTATCTATAGTTTTAATTTTTTCTTTCATCTTTTATATTTTCTTCCATATTTATGCAAGTTCCTCCTCATCAATATATTTCTTCTGGGTCCATGTGTCTGGAGTGTTTGCTTATTTAGTGGTTTCCATTGTTTTTTCCATCATTTGCTCCTTCTATAGCTTTTCAGATAACTGCTCATCAATACATTTCTTCTTGTTCTCTATCTCTAGGGTATTCCTTTTATGAGTGGCTTCCATTATTACTTCTATCATTTGTACTTTCTTTTGTAGCTGTATGAATGTCTCTACATCAACATAAATCATCTTTCTTCTTGACACTGTGGTATTCATTGCATTTGCAATATTCTCTGCTTTTTTGAGAAGTCTTAATTTGTTTTCTCACAGTGTTTGAAGCTATCTGCTGCTTTCTTGGCATTGTGAAAATTTTTTTGTAAGTGTTAGGCTGTTTCTGTTGTACATGACTTCCTTGTCTCTGCACCTTAGTACGTGGAAAACTATTAAGAATGTTGCACAATTATTCCACAGCAGCTTAGAGGAAGAGATGTTGTCCAATTAAAGCTTATTAAAGACTTTATTGAAGATAAGGAGAGCTCTGGTGACACAGTTCAGGGAGTTGCTCTGCTAACTCAATGACCATACCTCTCTGGCAGTTGAAATGCACCCAGCTGTTTCACAGGAGAAAGATAGGCAATCTTCTCCTGTGCGATTTATAGTCTCAGAAACCCAATGAAGGGTCTGCTATGAGTCAGTTCTGATTGATGGCAATGAGATAGTAAAGGTAGAGGAAATAGATTCTGAGAAGTGTGGGTGGTATTTAGACAGGGTGGACATGGGGGGAGGCTTTATAAACAGAATAAAATAAGTAAAGATAGGCATTGAACACCAATAGAAAGATAGTAGGCAGGTATATACAAATAGGTTTTAAATAAATAGAATTATCTAATAAATATTTTAAAATATATTCAGCCTAATTAGTGAGTCAGGAAGCAAGTATAAATTCAAAGATTCTTGCCTATCAAAAATTTAAATGACTGATAATAGCACTGAATTATAGATGTAGAAATGCTTGAACTGGTATATGTTTTGCTGTGTAATTTTCTTAACAACAACCACAAACAAAACACTAGTTTGTAAAGATAAAATATCGTCAAAAACAGTTATGTATTCAAGCACATAGGATAAAAAAATTCATTATTGTAGTAATAGAAAGATAACTAGTAAAATGTGTATGAAAGTCCGAAGGGGGAAGGGACGGAGTAGGAAGGATGAGAGTAGAGAAGGGGGAAATCAGAGGGTTGCAGAATTTGGTAGGCTGGGCCAAGGGACAAGCTTCAGAAACTGAAAAACTGTATCCTTTAAAATATGCTGTTTGAGCAAAAGGAGCTCTGGTGGTACAGTGGTTAACTGGCTCTGTTTGAACCCACCAACAACCCTGCTGGAATAAGATGTGACAATCTGCTTCTGTAAAGATTGGAAACCCTATAGGCAACTTTGCTCTATCCTACAGTCACTAATAAACAGAATTGACTGAGGGAGAAAAAAAATTATGAAACCAAACTCCGTTATTAGGTGCATACATACATATTTAAAATTATCATGCCTTTTTGATAAATTGACCTGATGTATCACTGTGAATGAATATGGTAAACATGATGAGAAAAGTACAGAATAGGACAGAGTTCAGACCTGTTGTTCATAGGGTCCCTGTGAGCCATACTTGACATTGTCTAACATCAACAACAATCTCATTTCCATTCATCTATCCTTCTGTCCATCAGTCTATTTTATTTTTTGTGCATTTTAAAGTAAATAACTTATAATTGTCTCCTTTTCCTAAATACCTATCATTAGCTGTTGCTATTGTACGCCATCGAGTCAAAACTGACCCATTGCTGACCCTCCAGCAAATTTTCAGAGGCAATAATCACATGGGAGGAGATTGCCCATCTTTCTCCCACAAGACTTCAATATTTATTTATGGCTTTCCTTTTTGTTTAAAATTTATATACAGTGAAATGTAACAAATTTGAAATGTGCACCTGCTGAGTTTTGACAAATGTACACTCTAATGTAACCCAAACGTCTATTAAAATAAAGAACATTATCATCACCTCAGACGATTTCCTCCTACACTGAGTCAATCCAATCATTTCCCCAGCTCAAAAGCAACCACTGTTCTGATTTCTTTACTTCTTACTGAAGAGCAATTTTCCTTCTTCCATTATAGAACTTCACCTCAAGGGGCTAAACCAGTACCTAGCATTTTGAATCGAATCTTTTTCACTTAGCATACTATATTTATAATATAGGCACATTATTTCATTTGTCAGTACCTTGTTTCTTTCAAAAGAATAAATTGCTGAGTAGTTATTCCACTCTGTGGCTGCATCACATTTGATTTATCCACCCCTATGTCAAAGGAACTCTGATGGTCCAGTGGTAAGAAGTTATGTTGCAAACCCAAAAGGTGATGGTTCAAATAAACCGGCAGCTGTTCTGTGGAAGTAAAATGAGTAATCTTCTCCCATGTAGTTTTCTGCTTCTGAAAACCCACTGGATGGTCTTCTATGAGTCAGTTCTAACTCAAGCGCATGCAACAACAACAGTAGCATCCTTTTATCAATGGGCATTGGGGAAATTTTCACCTTTTATTTTCTGAATAAAGTTGCTAGAAATGTATTTGTTCTTTTGTTCCTGTTAGGTAACTGTCTTGTTAAAACTCAGTAAAAAATTGCTTTTTTAGGGTCCACAAGGAGCACCCGGATCTCCAGGAACTGCAGGCCCTGTAGGACCCCCAGGATTACAGGTAAGGCTAACTTAGATCTAATTTGATCACTGTACTCAGATGACTGCTTTTGACACCATGGATGAAATAATGAGCCTGTATGAATATTTAGACGCTCCTAGACAGGATCATAATCTGTTCTGCATACAGGTTGAAAAGGTATGGAGACAGGACACATCCCTGCCGTATGCCCTTTCTAATTTTGAACCATACAGTGTTTCCTTGCTCTGTTCTGACGACTGACTCTTGGTTCAAGTATAGGTTTCTCATTAGCATGAGAATGTGACAGGGATGTGTCCTGTCTCCATACCTTTTCAACCTGTATGCAGAACAGATTATCCGGGAGGCTGGGCTCTATGAGGAGAAATGTGGGGTCAAAATTGGTGGAAGATCTATCAACAATCTGCGATATGCAGATGACACAACCCTGCTTGCTGAAACTGAGGAGGACCTGAAGCGCTTGCTGCAGAGGGTCAAGGACTGCAGCCTCCAATATGGATTGAGGCTCAATGTCAAGAAGACAAAGATTCTCACCACTGGACCAATAGGTAGCATCAGGATGGATGGTGAAGAGATTGAGATTGTACACAGCTTTAGTTTGCTTGGCTCCACAATCAACACTCTTAGCACCAGTAGCCAGGAATTAAAAGACATATTGCCATGGGAAAGCCTGCTGTTACGGACCTCTCCAAAATACTGAGGAGCAATGGTGTCTCTCTGGAGACTAAGGGGCGTCTGATACAGGTCATGGTCTTTGCAATCACTTGTTATGAGTCAGAGAGTTGGACAATGACTAAGGAGAATAGAAGGAGAATTGATGCTTTCGAGCTTTGGTGCTGGAGAAGAGTATTGAGGGTACCATGGACTGCTAGGAAAACAAACAGATTCATCCTTGAAAGGGTTAAACCAGGTGGCTCCTTGGAGGTAAGGATTCTGAGGCTCCGTCTAACATACTTTGGACATGTTGTAAGGAGGGACCAATCCTTGGAGAGGGACATCATGCTTGGTAGGGTGGAGGGACAGCGCAGGAGGGGCAGGCCCTCTATGAGGTGGGCTGATTCAATGACTGGGGTAATCGGGATGGTATGTCGGAGACAGTATGATTGGCACAGGATAGAGCAGAGTTAGGGCTATTAGGGTCGCTATGAGTCGCAAGCGATTCAACAGCACATAACAACAACAATAGCAGAGAGGATCAAAATGAAAGATGCTCTTACTAAGGGCTATTTCTTGTCTTTGTCAGAATCTTTCTGACTATTCAGCATATATCTCCAAAGCCTCTCAGTTTAGCTCAGCCTAAATGTATAGCCCAAGGATGACTGGTACCTGACACATCTATTGCAACCTTCTCCTTCACCTATGACAAACACTACTAGCCAATCATACCATCACTATCAGCTACCCTGAACTCAGAAAAAGCTTCAAAATTCTTCTCAACTCTGTGATTGGGCAGCTCCTACCCACCCACTTATCTTTCAGAGACCAAGCCTATTTGCCATCCATGGTATTGGAAGAATATATAGCCTTGCGGGAAATCCTGTGCCCAGATTTGTGTCTCTCTATTGCATGAAATCCCACCTCTTGTTACTTTGACTTAACTTCACCAAAGATCATCCGATGCAAGTTTCTGAATAATCAGAAAGAATGATACAGGAGACATCTACTACCTTAGCATGAATGTGCAGCTATCATTTCTGTTTGGGAAATTTCAAAGGAGAGCGAAAAAGGAATAATGGGAAGAAGAACTAGTATCTGCCACACCAAAACCACGCAACCACAAGCTGTGGCTTAACCCCAGTGCCACCCAATCAATGGATGTGTGTTCTTTTTTGGCTGAAACTAACGAATGCTAATTCCTCTTTGTTTCTAAATCTAGGGTCCTCCCGGTCCCCCTGGTTACCCTGGCCCTGATGTAAGTATGCTTTGTCTTGTGGGTATTTTACCTCTTACCCCTCAGTGTTCTGGTTTTTCACCAAAGAGATACTGGTTTGGCTGAACTTTCCTTATGGGTTGAACACACACACACTCCCACCCCTCACAACAAACTTAATTCCAATGATTTACATTTGTGTGATTTGTTTAGTAATTGATTTTTCTTTTTTCTCCCTGCACCCCAGGGAAACATGGGGTTAGGTTTCCAAGGCGAAAAAGGAGTCAAGGTAAACAGATCTTTTTGAAAATATAGACTACATTCCATATGGTCTATAAATAGCACTGATTACATGTGTATGTTTGCTTGTGTAAGGGGACTTAGATCTTCCCTTTGGGAAATAAGCAATTCCTGGCCCACCTGGCTCTTCTTGTGGAATCCCCTCAAAGGCTGCTTTTGTGTATGCCACATAGGCCACTATTCTGTTTCCCACCTATGAAGTGATTGCATATATTACAAGTCTCTTAAAATGTTCTTTCTTCTCTTTCCTCTCCAGCTTCTTTTTCCTTTTCTCTACGTTTTCCCTTTCATCTACCCTTTCTCTTCCTTTCCCAACTCCTACTCATCATCATGTATCCCTCTCCCTCCTCTCATCATTCGCTCTTAACATTTACCTTCATTACATTTACCTGTACAGATGATATGGTGATTTGGAGCAGCCCCAAGAAGACTGGCAACTTGTTCCCACACCCTTCATGCCTGTCTTTTGTGGACTGCTCCTCCTGAAGGAGCACATCTAGCCCCTGATATTCCTATGTGAACTTTGCTGTCTCTTCTTGTGCACTTGGCAGAAATTGGATTCAGAGATTGATCTCTATTGCCAAGTGGTAGCCCCTTGCCCATTGCTGACCCTCTGGCATGTTTTCAGTGGCAGTTAATCACACAGCAGGAGATTGCCTATCCTTCTCCCACACAGCAGCTGGTGGATTCGAACCGCATGCCTTCCAGATTGCAGCACAGCTTCTTGCCACTAGGCCACCAGTGCTCCCTAGCATCTTGTTTACTTAAACCCATCTTTCTTTCTCTCCCTCTCTCTTTTAAAGACCCTTTCATGCAACCCTGAACCTCTATTTTCCTTTTATCCATCTTGCTTCTTCCTTCTGCAATAATAGTACCAAGTTCATTTCATTTGGTTGAGCTTAAAATTGTTCTCATCCCTGGGCAATGATAGTTGTGTTCCCTTGACGCATGTCAAGGGTTCCCTTGATGAGTGTAAAGAGGCCAAAGTGGTGGACAGTTTCCTTGTCAGTTACATCAATAAAATAAACGCAATGTCTGGAGAAACATTCTGTGAGAACTATGCTTTGTTCAATGTTCCCTTTGGTGTTACAGGGTGATGTAGGTCTCCCTGGACCTGCAGGACCACCACCATCAACAGGGGAGCTAGAATTTATGGGATTTCCAAAAGGACAAAAAGGCTCTAAGGTAGGTGAATACTTAAGAATTTGAAATTTTTGGAAGCTTCCCACCCACCTCTCCCTGTTACAACTCAACACAGCCAGACTACAATGGAAGACTAAAAGATTCTGAATAAACACTTTTTGTCGATAGTTGTAGAAGGGTTTCAGACCTTTTGTTCATAGGTCACTATGAGTCATGCTCGACTTGAAGGTAATCAACAACAACAACAACTTGGAAGTGAAGTTGAAAGTCATCTTTATTTTTTTTTTCCTCTTGAAAAGGCTTCCTGAAAACGTTTTGAGTGTGGTTTCTAGTATAAGAATGCATACCTGCGTTTCTGAGTATTTATTTAAGTGCTACTTTCTTCATTACCATCTGGCAGTGATTGTCAAGATGCTGAATACATTTTTATTTATTTTTTAAAATTACTTTAAAAAATTATACATGACACCCTCAGATAAATGTGACATAACATATAGGATGTAAATGTTTGTTTTTGAGCTTTCTTGAAAAAATTCTTTGCTTTCAGAACTAAACTCTGCAAATGGGTATACTGTAATCAAGTGATGGTAGCTGATCTCAATCACATGATATGAAGTGCAAAAACTTAATCTGTAGACCGGTTTAACTGAGATATTTTATAATCTGGTGGTTTTCTATAAAGTGAATGTGTATTGTGTACATGGTTGTGAGGAAGGTTGTGTTTAAACAGCTGCTTGCTTTTAAAGTTTGCAGATATCTTTCAGATCTCTATTTTTTAAAAGATCAACATTTTTTATTATTATTTGAGTGAAAGTTTACAGGAAATGTCGATTTTTGCATTCAATGTTTCATACACATTAGGTTCTGTGATGTTGATTACAATGCTCACTCTCTCACTTCTACCCTGTATTTCCCCTTTACATTCATCCTGTTGTCCTATCCCTTTCTGCCTTCTGAGCTTTATCCCTGGGTATATGCTGCCCCTTTGACCATGTGCTGTTGATTTTTCTGAGAAATCTATGCCTCCATGGTATTGTTCACCTTATATTGTTGTTGTTATACCTTGCCGAGTCGCTTGCGACTCAGAACAACCTTATAGGTCTATCTATTTTTTGGTTAGAAGTTGAGCCATTCAGTTACTGCCCATTTGAACATTAAAGGTTACTTTAATCTGCATCACTTTCCTTCTTGAGTATCCCTTAAAGTCTATTTATATAGAAATCTAAGGGACCTTGTACAGGGCAATGTATTTAATCCCATTTCTTTACTCTGTCTTTCTAGAAGGAACAGCTTGAGGGCCCCTACAGGCTTACAGGAAGTAATCTTTGATTTAGGAACATTCAGGAAACAGAGCATTGCTTGCTTCCCTGATCCCCTGATCATTCATTCTCAAACGTAGAGAGCTCTCACATGGCATATATAGATAGATTATCATATCAAGGGGAAAGAGATTAGAATATTATGCATCCTTATCCAATTATAGTTGTTACCCTTTATCCAAAACCAGGGGTTTCTTTGCAGCCTGTAATTCACTACAGGAAATATCACTCGACAGCTTTTCCCATTAGAAATAAAACAAATGCTCATTTGTTTTTCTGTTTCTCAGTAAGCCTAGCCATGTCAGATTGCGCTTTAGAACATTTTCTTTCCCTTTCCTACATCACAAAACCCAAATGAAACAAACAATCAAAAAAACCCATAGGCATTGAGTCAATTCCAACTCATCAAAAACCAAAGCACAGAACAGAACTATCCCATAGGACAGAGTAGAACTGCCCCATAGGCTTTCCAAGGCCTATAAATATTATAATATTTAAAGAAGTAGGCTGCCACATCTTTCTCCTACATAGTAGTACATTAGAACCTGTAGCTTCTTGGTTAGAGGTTGATAGCTTTAACTACTGCATCACCAGGGTTCTTTTATATCACAAAAGCTCCCTAAACTAAAACTCTAAGGTAAGTTACAGTCACAAAGCCGGCGGAATCTGCATCATTCCAATCCTGGCATCTTATTGGTTCCCCAGTCTGAGGGGGTGGTCCTATTCAGTACTGCTAACGATAATTTGTCCATGACTTTTCCAGGGTGAACCAGGGCTTCCAGGTCTCCAAGGCTCAAGTGGTTCTCCAGGCCTACCGGTAAGTTTTCCTATTTGGTCAACATCTATTCAATTGGACAAAAAATAAAGAAATAACAATAGAAAGCTAACAACAAAAGGAAAGAGAACTCTTTCTGTTATGGTTATTGTAGAGAATTCCACTATTTTCGTTAGTAGAAAGCTCCAGACTTCCCAGTTTGTAGGATTTTGAAAAGGAAGAAAGAAGATCTAATGTAACATTAGATGGCTTCCATGAGACTATATGTCTTAGAGGATATGTAGTCAGTCTCTAGGATTAAAATAGGGTGCTCTGGTGGTTTGGTGATAAGGAATCTCCTCCTGTGGGATTTATGGCCTGTGAAAACCTGCTGGAGAGTCAACTATGAGTCAGTTTGTTGGGACTTTTTTTGGGGGCGCATTAATTTATTTATGAGTTTATCTCACGCACCAGAATGAGAAATAGGAAATAGAAAAGAGAAAATGGTTAATAAAGAATATATTACAAACTAAAAGCACAGTGAGTAGCAAGACATAATTTCATTCTAGATTAGGTGGAATATGTTTCGGGAGTAATCAGCCAAAATACATAGAAGAGGAAGCATTAATTCATCGCCTTCCGCCATCTATTTTGAGGGTTGTCCTTAGCCTTATTGATTCTCTCATTCCTAGAGTGCCCGTATGTCCATCATTCTTGTCTCATTTGCTTCCAAAGACAGAAGAAAGCCCCAGAAACATGAAGTGAGAGGCTAGTAGCAGCGGCTGAACTCAAGTAAACCAAGGGTAGAGGAGTAGGTCATCAACAGTATCCATTAAATACACCTTGTACAATATGTAAACATATCTGGGATGGGGGAGGTAAGTGATAAACAATCCCATTCCTGTCGAGTTGAATCTGATTCATAGTGGCCTTCTAGGACAGCATAGTAGGGCAGCAAAGAGTTTCCAAGAGGGTAAAGGGAGACGCTCCTCTGGCACTTCTAGTCTAGCATAGTTCCTGGAGAGAAAGACAGGCTCCTCCATTGCCACTTAAAATTATGAGTCGGTTTTTAGTAGATGGTACACAAGTTAGAGTTAAAATAAACCTATACTTGGCTTCCGTTTTCACCAATTTCTAGCTTTGACACGTTGGGAAAATTAATCCACATTTATAGGCTTAAATTTCCTCACTTGCATATATTTTTTTAAAAGGAGAAGAAAGAAAACAAAACCCTCAAAACTCAAACTCCTTGCCATCAAGTCAGAATCAACTCATAGCTGACCCTCCAGCAGGTTATCAAAGTCTATAAGTGTATGGGGAGAGATTATTTCTCTTTCTCCTGCAGAGCAGCTGGCAGATTTAAACTGCCGGAGAGGCATGGCCTCTGAGTTAGCAGCACTTTGTACAGATTATGTCACCAGAGCTCCTTTATATTTAAAAAGGAGAGATAATAACAGGATGGTTATAAGGATTGAATGAGGTAATATATATGTACATGTTGACACTTATCATTTAGTAAATTATATCTAATCTTAGTACACCTGCTACTCCCCTGCTTTTCCTCTAATTCATTACACAACATTCTACATTTACAGTAGTGAAAAACCTGCACTCTGATTGTTGTGTGTATAAATAGCGTACTTCTAGCAGGAAAGAATGTGTTTGTAAGGTGAGAGTAACACCAACTATGATGGTTAAAGTTATGTATCAACTTGATTGGGCCATGATGCTCAAAGTACGGCAGTGAGGTACTTAATGATATAATTTGACAGTTATGTGGTGGTATGTGCATCCTCCTTTTTTTTTAAAAAAAAAAACCAAACACAAAACTGGTTTATTTACAAATTTCATTTACATTGTTTTTCACACTGGAGCTTTCCAGTTTCCTTCACACCCTCTTCCCTCCACCCATCAAATTGTGTGACCCTGTGATTAACCACCCTCCACCACCCGCCCATCCTCACCCCTCTGCTTCCAAACTCCCACCCTTAAATCCTCATACTCATTCTACAATAATGATTTTATACAGTATTTGTCATTACGGAGCTGAGTTACTTCACTTAGCATAATGATCTCCACTCTCTCCCAATTAGGTAGTGATTTGCAAAATCATTGCTCCTGCATGCTGTGTAAATATTCCATTGTGTGAATGTACTATAGTTTTTCAAGCCATTCTATTGTGGCTAGACACTTAGGCTTTTTTCTTGTGATGGTGAATAACACTGCTATGAACATTGGTGTACAAGTCTCCATTTGTGCCTCAGTTCTCATTCTCTCAGGGCATATTCCAATCAGTAAAATATCTGGGTTAGATGCAATTTCTATGTTCAGCTTTCTGAAGAAAGGACAAACAGACCTCAAGAGTGGATGTACCATTTTACAATGCCACCAAATATGTAAAAGAGTTCCTATCTCACCACATCCTCTCCAACATTTATTATTTGCTGTCCTGTTAAACTTTGCCACAGTTACTGGAGTGAGATTGTATCTCATTGTGGTTTTGATTTGCATCACTCATATTGCCAATGATTTGGCCATCCAAGTGTCTTCCTCTGTTAAAAGTATTTCCATGTCTTTTGCCCATTTTGTAATTGTGTTATCAGTCTTTTTCTTGTGGATGCCCTGTAGGATTCTGTAAAGTTTTTATATGAGACACTTGTCTGAGATGGTATTGCCAGTTTTTCCCCCCGGTCAGTAGGTTTTATTTTCACTCTGTTAGAAAATGTTTTTGACACATGCAGGGATTTAATCTTTAGAAGGCCATATTCATAAATTTTATTCTCTCTAAATTGAGCATTTCTGGCTGTAGTTGGCAGTCTTTTTATACCATAGACTAGGACATATAACCTTGATCACAGTTTGTCTCTGATGAACTTTATGATTTTGGGCTTTAGTCCCAGGTCTCTTATCCATCTTGAGTTTATTTTTTGTGTGTGGTGTGAGATGTGGATCCTAATTCAGCTTTCTGCAGGAAGCAGTCCAATTTTCCCAGCACCATTTGTTAAAGAGGTTGTCATTTCCCCATTTGATAGGTTTTATTTCCTTGTTGAATATCAGTTGACCATAGATGCTGTTGCTGTTGTAATGTGCCATCAAGTCATCTGCAACTCATAGCAACCCTATGTACAACTACTATGAAGCCTGCCTTGTCCTGAGCCACTCTCACTGGCTTTGTTACACCTACCTTCATTGCCCTAGTTACTGTATCAATCAATCTCATTCAGGGTCTTCCTCTCCAGTGCTGCCCTTTACCCTTCTGAGAATGATATCCTTCTCCAAGAATCACTCTCTCCTGGTCACATGCCCAAAGTATGAGAGATGGAACATCAAAATCCTAGGCTCCAAGGAGAAACTTGGTTTCACCTCTCCAAGACAGATTTTTAATTTTTTTCATGGCCATCCATGGCATGTTCAAGGCTCTTTTCCAGAACCACAACTCAAAGGCATCAATTCTTCTTCTATCATCTTAGTCATTATCCAGCTCTCTGAGGCATAGCAAGTAATTACAAAGACCATGGACCGGATCAGACGCACCTTAGTCTCTAGAATGAAATCATTGCTTCTCAGTACTCTAGAAAGGTCCTTGACAGCAGATTTACCTCATGATCCATTTCTGGATTATCAATTCTGTTCCATTGGTCTTTGTGCTTGTTGTTGTACCAATACTGTGCTGTTTTGGTTATTACTGCTGTGTAGTAGGTTTTGAAGTCAGGGAGTACTATTTTTATTTTTCATGTGCTTTGCTTATTCAAGGCCTCTTTACTCTCCAAATAAATTTGACAATTTCCCTATCGATTGCCTTGAAAAATGAGTTTGGTATCTGTATCAGGATTGTATTGAACATGTAGATTGTTTTTTGTTGGATTGTCATTTTCACAATATTGAGTCTTCTTATCCATGAACAAGGTACATTTTTCCATTTATTTAGGTCTTTTATTGTGTCTTGCAGAAATGTTCTGTAATTTACTTTCTACAGGTATTTTGTTGTCTCTATTTTGTGTCACTCCCAAGTATCTCAATTTGTAGTTGGCAATGACTTATTCATTGCAAATACTTTTTTTAAGAGACATAAACACAGGTTATATACATGGACTTCACCTGATGGTATGCATAGGAATCAGATTGATTACATCTGTGGAAAGAACCGCTGGAGAAGCTCAATATCAGCTGTGAAAACTAGGCCAGGAGCTGATTGTGGAACAGACCACCAACTACTCATATGCAAGTTCAAGC